TGCGTTGACGGCGGGGGGGGGGGGGGGGGGGGGGAATCAACTCCAACTCCCCCACTGATCTCTTCTCTGAAATGCAGACTTCTGCTGTGTATTTTGCTGTTATTTCTTAGGCAGATCATTCCTTGTTTTCAACAAACTTTTTCTGTTCCTGCAGAATTGTAAGGAACAACTGACAGCTTTCTGAAAACTGCATTCAGTTACTGCATTGGGCATATTTGTAACTTTCCTGTTATAAAAGGTTGCGAGAGATTTTGATTATCACTTGAGACAAAAATACTTCTGGAAATGGATTTATTTTTAAACATGTATCTCTATATTTCTTTTACTTACACTATATGTGTGTATATATATACTTATACACATACACACTATATATACATGTATATATATACTTGTTTATTTTACTCTGTACAGAGGGAGCTAGATCGTGACATGTTTGCCAGTGATCCCAGAAGTGAGAGCAGATTCAGGCATCTGTGACCTCTCCGAGAACAAGCGTATGTCCCTATTTACATCTACAGCTGCATGTCAAGGCTGAGTGCGTAATGCAGTACCCAGGAGGTGGTACAATAAGAAGGTTCTTACATTTTATTTGGGTCCTTAAAGGCCGAAACAGAACACTGCAAACTGTTAATTTTTGTAAGGGACAATTATTGTAATAGCAGTTAAAACCTCATGTCTCCTCAGTGTCGTAAAGCAGGATTTCCTTTTCCAGATTACACAGGGAGGTGTTCTTCTGATTCATCAGATAAATGTGGTATCAATTGGATTAGGACATCAGGGCTTTAGCAACGTTATAACAGGAGAAGAGTGTGCGCTAGGATTTACTTTGCTCTAGCAAAATAAAGATCATCTCTCACCTTCCGTAATGATTCCTGTGCACTGTGATCTTGTTACCATGAACAGAACTGTCTAAATATTTTGGGAAGCAGTAAGGTATTGCATTGGCATTCCTGCTGCCGAAGTGCAACAAGCTTGTTTTATATAAAACATGATTTGTGTTTCTGAGATACAAGGATCCCAGGGGTGACGATGGGGCAAGCTTTATAGCTCTTGCAAAGTCTGACAACAAGCTTCACAACAGGATTAGCTACTTTCCAATTTTCAACCTATTGAACAATTTACACTGTCCAGGCCAACTCTGTTAGAAAGTCTATAAAATGTGTTTGTCCTCTAGCTGCAGAAGCCAATTCAATTCTAATTCCTTAAAGTGGCATCTAGGACTAAACCTCTTAGCTGTCTAAGACTGCTAGAAGTTCACAGAGAATTAATTTCTTACTTTTCCCTGTAGATTATGCGCTGATGAGGTGCTTAGATGCTCAGTAAAAAGAAAGTTATTAAAACAAGGGACTTACACGTTCTCCTTTGGGTCCTCTGTCTCCTGGTCTCCCCACAGCACCCTGAAAAATTGTTGATGAAAAAAGATAAACATGTCACTTAAAGGCTTTTTTGTACATTCATCTGTTAGCAGAACTGAAAGCAACTACCTAGGATAAACAGCTATGGTATCTGTGAAGAATAAAATACACTAGTATGCAAAAGCATGTTTTCCTACCGGAGGACCTGGCAATCCATCTTTTCCATTGGTTCCCTATAAAAAAAAAAACCCAAACAATTTTTTAATAAATATGCTCATGTATATGCATTTTAAAAATATAAAGTGTAAAGCTCCATGTTTAGTGCTGGTACCAGTACATATTCTGCAGCTGCAGAGGCAGCAGTTTATGTGGTTACAATATGGAAATACTCACAAATAGTCTTGAGACATGTGAAATAACAGAGCTCAGAGCAATACTGAACTGCAAGCACATTAAATCTGAGCTGAGAGCAGAGCAAAAAAAATAATCTTTGGCGTCAAGATGTGCATCAACTTTAATGAGCACACAACTTTAAATGACAAGTTATACAGAAATTCTGCAAATGTGGACCTGCACATGCACTTTTCCAGTCCCAGCTAGTCACTATACAACCATAAAAGAGATTTCTCTTACTCTAGATATTAGCCCTGATGCCCTATTACCCTTCTGCTGTTACAGAGATTATGCCTTAATAGTAAGGGGCCAGATCCATTCTTTGGTCCTTAGGACTTGTGGCACGGCACGGCTTCAGCCTCCTGGGCTAAACATATTTCCTTCCCAAAAGATGGTGGCCTCATTCATGCCACCTGCTGGAAGCAGTCCCAGGCCCACGTTTTCCCCCCAGACTGGAATGTAGCATTATCTGAGAGTCCTAGTTGGGCCAAAACAACGTCAGAGAATATGTTAACAATCGCACAAGGCCAGATAATTGCAAGATAAATGCTCTGGCACTGTTTAATTTACTAGGATATACATGGATCTGCATATGCAGCAAACTCACTGCTATTTCACTGAGTGAGAAAGAAGGACTTGCATGAGCAAAGACATCAGAAATATTTCCTTCCCTCTCATACTGCAACGTGGAGTTTTGCACAGATTAGGCACCTTGGGCCAATTTGCTGCTGAAGTTACAGAAATTGTGTCTTCTTTCAAGACAGAAGTGTAATATGGAGACGTGCTAACAAGCTGAAATGGTCTGCTTCTCATGTTCGTCCCCAAAACACCAAGCTTCGGGGGAGATAATGAGTTCTGCACTATCCGAGCTGAACCACTTCTAGAATATAAACTAGGTTGTCTTAAACTAGCTCAGACAGTGCTGACTACACTGCTGTCACACTTTTATTAAATAAAGAGGTCAGATTAGACATAACCTAAGTGAACAGTAAATGCTTCAGCTGCAGTGTTGCATCACCCGTATACAGAAGAGTTATGAAGTTTATTCAGTCATGAAGCACACGCTTCTCTATCTAAACTGAAATAGAGAACATATTTTCTCACCCCATCCTTTATAGACTGTGTTGAGTGTCTGGGTTAATATTCTCCTTCTGAAAAAATACGAGAGGATCCTTTATGCCAACAGGATCCAAAGGACCCTCATAAGACCTTTAAAGGCAACATCTCAGTAACATCAACTATTAAAACATCACAATACCAGGAATTCTTGCCTGGTTAATATTGAGCACTGTAGCTCTAAGTATTCTTCGGATGTTACCTAGCCTAACACAAAGCAGGATGTAATCTCATTTCTTTTGTAACTTTTGATAAACTAAGACACATCCTTTAGTAATGAACATATATTCAGTATAAAATTGCTTACTGGTTTTCCTTGTGGCCCTTCTGGCCCTGGGAAGCCTATATCTCCTATAGGTCCTCTTTCACCCTAGGAAAGAAGAAGACACACGTATAAATCTGCATGTAAAATCTTGCATTCAGTGTTTGAAATATTTGTGTATTATCATAAGAATCCAGAACTCAAATCTGTACTTACAGGTTCCCCTGGCATCCCTGGGGACCCTGGAGATCCTGGCTTTCCCTGCAAAAAGAGAAAATTACAAATTCAAAGAACTAGGAAGCAAAACATAATTTCTCTTTAGTCAAAAAAAAAGAAAGGATATATATTTGAGTGAAATATTCATGTTACTGTTCATTAAATGCTTTAAGTAAGAAAAAAGAAATATTTTACCAAATTTCTTTAGTATTTGTGCCACGTTAATCTGGCTTTTGTGTACAACATAACTCAATCACTTGGTGGTCTTTACTCTTTCTGAATACCCATAAAATGTTTTCATGAAATTTTCTTTTACAACACCATGATTTCCTTCCTGAGAAGTCATAGTCAGATCAAAGTTTATCACTGTATATGTGAAATCAAGAGTTTTTTTCCTTCAGGTACTTCCTAGTCCTGATTTTTTTAAAGTGAGTTTATTACTGACTTAACACCTTTTGGAAATTTTGTTCATGCTCTTTTTTGGTCACTTTTATTGTTGTTTTATGTTCAGCTTTCCAGAATTCATAATCCTTTCTCATCTTATCATTTATTTGGTGATTTTAAATGTCTTTATTTTTTTAAATGATGCCTTGCTTTTAGCAGCCTATCTGGTTCAGCCCCAGACAAGAATCTATTACCCTGAATCTACATTTCCCAGAAATATCCTTAGACCAGATCCTCAGCTGACTCGTACCAGTGAGGGATCTAACACATCGACAGCAGTGACAACCTCAGAACAACAGGACTGAGGATTCGTGCTGAGGAAATAGGCATTGGTGGCAATTCTTGCAGAATCTCAGTCCAAGCTTCCCTGACAATCCTGCTCAGCAAAAAGCCAAAGCTAAAATGAGAGGTTTATATTCTCAAATGGGAAAATGGGTTCACTATTCAATCTAGGCAATACTGCCAGGCAAGGAGGACAAATTCTCTTCCTGTAAGATATGTGGATATATTTCAAAAACTCATCCTAGGCTACTAAAAAATACTGTCTCTCATACGTCTCTTAATTTGTTAATTAAAACTGCTTAGCATAAAATGTTAATACAAATTATTTATTTCAGTGAATTTTATTAGAATTAAATGTATTCAACAGAATGCAACTCCATCGGTGATGAAGGGAACTCATTAAATATTTCATACCAAGCTAGAACAGAGAGCAACAAGAATAAGACTTGGAACGGCTCGATGTCCAAGTGGAGAGCAGTGACGAGTGGCATTCCTCAAAGGTCAGTATTGGGACCAGTGCTGTTTAACACCTTTGTCGGTGACATGGATGGTGGGATTGAGCGCACCCTCAGCGAGTTTACCAACAACACCAAGCTGTGTGGTGCAGTCGACACGCTGGAGGGAAGGGATGCCACCCAGAGGGTCCTTGACAGGCTTCAGAGGTGGGCCCGTGTGAACCTCATGAAGGTCAACAAGGCCAAGTGCAAAGTCCTGCACATGGGTTGGGGCAATCCCTGGTATCAATACAGGCTGGGCGATGAGTGGATTGAGAGCAGCCCTGAGGAGAAGGACTTGGGGGTGTTGGTTGATGAGAAGCTCAACATAACCAGGCAGTGTGCACTTCCAGCCCAGAAAGCCAACTGTATCCTGGGCTGCATCAGAAGAAACGTGACCAGCAGGTCGAGGGAGGGGATTCTGCCCCTCTGCTCCGCTCTGGTGAGACCCCACCAGCAGTACTGTGTTCAGCTCTGGGGCCCCCAACATGAGAAGGACATGGACCTGTTGGAGCGAGTCCACAGGAGGCCATGAAGATGATCAGGGGGCTGGAGCACCTCTCCTGTGAAGACAGGCTGAGAGAGTTGGGGTTGTTCAGCCTGGAGAAGAGAAGGCTCCGGGGAGACCTTACAGCAGCCTGCCAGTACCTAAAAAGGGACTACAAGAAAGCTGGAGAGGGACTTTTTACGTGGGCATGTAGTGAGAAGACAAAGGGTAATGGCTTTAAACTGAAAGAGGGTAGATTTAGATGAGAGGTAAGGAAGAAGTTCTTCACTGTGAGGGTGGTGAGGCACTGGAACAGGTTGCCCAGAGAAGCTGTGGCTGCCCCATCCCTGGCAGTGTCCAAGCCCAGGTTGGATGGGGCTTTGAGCAACCTGGTCCGGTGGAAGGTGTCCCTGCCCATGGCAGGGGGGTCGGAACTAGATGATCTTTAAGGTCCCTTCTAACCCAAACCATTCTATGATTCTATGAACATGTCCAGTGGGAAATACACAGGGAATGAACAACTGTGATCATCCTAATCAGCTACTGCATTATTGATTCACAGCACGAGATATATTTCACAGCAACAAACTTTGAAACTCTTACTTGGGCTATAAAACTCAGAGAAATACTTCTCTTTTACCCTTAAATGTGCAATTTTACCTTGTTTTAGGAGAACTTAACTAAATTAAGCTATTTAAGCTGATGTACTCTCTTGGAACTCACAGTAAATTGGCTAAATCAGTGGCTAATCGAAATGGGAGTGCATAGACACAAACTTCTCTTTATTTCATGAAACACATATTTATAATTTAAAACCAGTTCCTGAATGGATTGGTAGCTGCCAAAATTTAATAATAAATGTATTTGCATATAAATAACTCCATATTGCCTCCTGAAATATGGATAACCTTTTTTATTAAACTGTGAATGCAATCTAAAGAAAAGTTGTCTTCATTTCCTTTAGGAACACAAATGAATAATTGTAATTTCAATTTATCATTAGTTACATTTACTTTCACCTACAACAGTTTCTGGATGACTTTCAGAAACTTCTCTGAATACCACATATAAATAGCCGACAAAGCATTCCCCTAAAGCAAATGTTTGATTGACTTGATATGCAGATCCTCATGGATTGCAATAACTAACGTTCATAATTTTTCTTTGTGGTAGAAAGAAGCTCAGAAATTTGTGCACGCCCGGGAACACAGAAAACGCCTTTATCTATATTAAACTGAGGCAATGAGATAAATCTCATATGCTTTCTTAACTAAGCATATGTAGCTTTAAATTCCAGCTTTATCACGTATTCATACCATTGCCTCCTGTCATTTTAATAATAATAAGAACCCTTGGTGGTATTAAAATTCTAATCTCTTTAGGAAAAACACATCGTTGTCATACCTGCCTATAAAGCATTAGCCAAGCGCTGGCATTCCACAAACAGTGATCGAGGTTACAGGTCAGCACCTTGTTTGACCTGTTTTTTCAGCTTCCAACAAACTGAGTTTTCTTTAATGAATATACGTACCGGTGTCCCTGCTACTCCTGGTGTGCCAGCTGGTCCACGGTCACCCTGAAGAAAAGATAAATCTATACTTAAATGGTAACACTCAAACCAGAAATTTGTTTGTGGATTCCCATTAAAACCTGTGAAAGGATTATTCAGTGAACTGAAAATGAGGACAGGAGCCAGGCTCTGCTAAATCCTAATATTTAGCTCTGCCACTGCCTCATTTTACAGACTTGAGCAAGTAACTTAAATCCTTTGTTGAGGTTCTCTTGTATAACGTCATAACTTCCATGCTACCCCTTATACTCTGCTTGAGGTCTTCCTTGAAAAGGGATGGAAAGTCCCTGACCTACCTGCAATTTTCCAAATAATTATCATTTGTGGTCACGACAATGACCGAAATTCACATAGGGTAATTCACTATCATATCAACATCCCCATATTTAAGATGTATCTTTCAAAGAAGTTTTTGCCTTTCTGGTACCCAGTCATCCATTTGCTGCAAGTCAGCATCCTCGATTTGCTTGTGCCATGGTCCTTTCAGGGCAAAGTTTCTCCTTGTAGCATACAGCCACCTTCATCTATGCTTTAAGCTAAGACAATGGCTTTTTTGCTGGAGCTGATGAGTTATGGGCACAAATTCATCTTTCTCTCTTGAAAGGACTAAAACCCAAAGCAGACAGATGGAGCTCACCAGTGGTAGAGCTCTACACAGCAAGATTTGCCCTAACCCACTGCTGGCGCGCATTGGTCCGTAACGGTACGCTCTGCTAGTGTAACGTTGGTTAAAAATGTAAGAAAAAATCAGGCTCCTAGTTTCTATAATCACGTAAGAAAAGCCCTGGCACACTTAAAACCATACTAACAGGAGAATATTTTTGTGAGCTGAGTTTATGTTACCTGGAGCTGTTTTGCAAAAGCTCCGCCAACACAGCTACAGCCACGTTCTGTTGTGCAGAAGAGCCCCACGAGATGTTGGGATTTCTGGTTTCTGTTCTTACACCTAATGCTGATTTGTCTCATTCGCATGATTTTGTTCAGGTAGCACAATGATAATGCTGAATCAGAACCACTTAACTCCATTACACAAAACGTAGATGACGACAAGTTAAAAGTCTGACCTTGAGTCCGGAGGGAGAAGCTTGCCTACAGGCTGCAGTTCAACCTCTCTTGCTCTGGAGGCTAAGAGAAGTCACTTAATGCAAGTTCACTCCTCAGCGAGGAACACAGCACGCACCTCGGGAATAGCTCAGCACCGGGTATCTGTAGCAGGACATATTGCCTGGAGCACTGCACTCTGTCCCTGGGGTTATTCCGGACCCAGAACTTGTATCGTGGTGTTTTCCCTCTACGCTGGCTGTGACGGCGAAGCTAGAAATTCCTAACGCTTCCCTTGCAGCTCCTTTTCTTTGAAGGGTCCTTTCAGCAACGTGATTCGCAGCACGGCTGCACAAACCACTGGGTCAGCACAGCGGAGGGAAGGGACGTTTTATCCCGAGGACACAAAGTTCTTAAGCCGGTTCATGAAATTACCATGAAATTACAGCCACCATTGTCTGTGGAAGATGGCATTCTGCTACACAGATGTACCTCATAGCTCTAAATTAAAACCCAGCTTGCATTATACTGTTGGGACTGGCAGGCAGACTCTGGGATTTTGTTCATTTATTTGCATCAGAAATGTGAATTCTGACCAAATTTAGTTAAGGAATGGATATTTTTCCTTTGGAAAAGGGCCAAACACTCACTTAGCTTGTTTATACAATCTGCTCCATTGCTTATTCCCTTTATTTAATTCTTGTCTCCACTTTGTCTCAGTTAGACCTGTAATATCTCCCTGTGTGTGTTCATTTTGAAATCAGACTAGTCTTTAATTGCTTGTAAATTGCAGTCTTCCAGAGCAAGAATCATCTCATGTAATTTAAACATCTAGAATAGACACCTACCTTAGATCTTGTCATTCCCTACTCTCTGCACAAGCAGGAGTAATGCACAGTGATACTGAGAGAAACTTTTAATCTACATTGCTTTTTGATGAAAAATACGTTTCAGTAAACTATTTTTGTATGAAGCCATTGAATAACATGTAATTCAAAAAGCTGAATAAATATTCCATTTTCCAAAAAAAAAATTACTCCTTTTTCTTCTTAAATTTAGAAGTTATGGGCAAAATCAAACTGTTTTCCCTGACAGAAAACAAATTCACAGATTTTTTCATTTCTCCGCTGAATTTTTTGTACTTTGACGTATTTAGAAATGAATACCAAAATCTTAAAATTTTTAGCGTTTCATGCAAGCTTTTCTCTACATTCATATCAGCCTCCACAACTAGTAAGTGAAAGGCTGAAACATGCCACCGGCTGAACGAAAGGATCATTTCCTAGCGCTGGAATGCAGACGTGAACTACCGGAAGGGGCTGGAGAATATGATACGGTTTGGGATGTGCTACAGTGGCATCATACAGGCAGTATGGAGTACAAGAAAGGCAAAACAGAAACAAGGGGCCTTTTTTAGAATAATGAGCAACAGTCTGAGAAAAGAGATTTTGGCTCCTTTTGGAGCAGGATGCAATACAACAGGAACTGTAGGGAATCAGTCTCTCCCTCTAGTTCTACCCTTTTTTATATTTTTACACCCATCTGAAATAGTCTTTTTTTTTTTTGTATGGGAGTCTTGCATGCACTAGGTCTAGACTGATTCAGGTACAAAATCCTCTTAAGATCTATAGCGATGCCATAAGTCTTAGAACAAGAGAGACTGTAAGCATGAGACGATGTTCAATAGGGAACAAGAACTAGTGACCGTACTTAGGAACATGTTAACTACATTACTGTCAAGTAATATATATATAGTATATACTATATATAATAGAGTATATAGTAGTATTCTACCAAGTTAAGAAAACAAAATATTACAAGACCTCCTACACACAATTTTCCATTTGCAGAAAATGAAATTTTATGTTGGGTGAGTATATGATTTAGATCCACAGTGAAAAAAAACCCCCAAATACAGATATATATGCAAATATTTTTCACACAGGAACATTATCTTACACAAAAAAACTTCAAACAAGGTTTCAGAAAACATTTAGCTGCAGATAGTTGCCACTAAGAAGCCATAACTTCTTTTTAAGAGTCCTACCTTTTCCCCTGGGAGTCCTTCCAGTCCTGGTAATCCCATTGGTCCTGGGTCTCCCTGATTTATTTTTTTTAAAATTAAAAAGGATTGCATACATTAGAATTTCTGTACTCTACATAAGAAATGTTGAACAGCAAGCAACAGCAGATTCTTTAATTAGTAAACCAGCTAACCAGTTGTTAGGTGAACAGATTTTGTTATGCCCTGTTAAGCGAATGAAGCTTTTCCCAGAGATGCTGTGTGAATATTTGGATCAATGGTTTTAATTTTGATGAAGAATGTAATCCAAAAGACTCGCCTCCAGTGTTCTTGCAAGCCAAGGCCAGCTCTAAAGCACCTCCAGGTGATAGAGCCCCAGGGTATAAGCATGTGCTCTCAACCAGAGAACCAACCTCCAAGCGATTCTGTGCTCTGTTCCCTAAACAAAGCTTACTCTGCAGGAAGGGACACACAGACTAGGTCCCTGGGTAGTTCTTCAAGTTTTGAAAGAAAACCAGAAACATGCTCCACTGGAGAAATCAGTTTAATATGTAGAGTGGGGAGGCTCTTTTAGTTTTTTTTTGTTTTTTTTTTTAAGAAAATCAATAATTTACCATAGACATTTAAACTACAGCCAACAATCCCAATATTTCAGCAATTCTCAGTTAAACCAAAAGCCACAGCAAATTCCCATCTGGATTTCATGAAGTCCCTGGCAGACCTCACTTTCCACACCTAAACTGTTTGGGAGACAGTGCTTCCTGAGTAGGAAGTGGTTGCTGATACAGAAAGAGGTATTCAGCTTCTGGGCATTATGGTGAAACAAAAATAGGCTTTGTGACTTTTTTTGAAAATAGATTAATCAACTGTTTTAGGAAACTCTCTCACAACTCCATGTTTTGCTGTGAGTGCTGAGGGGTTCTGTTTTGGGTTTCTTAATGTCCTTGAGGAGCACAGTTATTACTTAGGTTTGTTCATAGATCAAAGTTTAGTTTTTCTTGTATCTGGCTCTCTATTATCACTTGGCAAGGAATCAAACATGATCCCAGGCTTTGCACAGCTTGGCTGAGTGGAGATTATGCACCTTCATGATAGATGAAGTCCTAGCCAGCTCACACGGCTGACACATGGTACTCGTCCTGATTCAGTCATACTACCTGAAGTTCGAAAGAGGTCTGCTGGACACAGTTCTATTACACCGACCATGAAGGAGCAGTACCTGTTTCACTGCCCTGCAGTGTGATAGGGCTGTAATTATCATTATGCAGTTGTGCGATGTTCCTTAGACATGAAAAAGAAGTACACGAATGTACTGAAATCTTAACTGCTGTGGAAGCACCTATCCAATTTTGAAAACAATATCTATTTGATACTACCATACTTTTTAGGCTAAATCATCAATACTCAAATTTTACTATTATCTTTTGGGTATTTTCAGTGACATCCAGTCATCAAGATGCAATACCTGTAAGTTTCAACTTTGCCACCTTCAAAGCTAGGAACTGTAGTGACAAATTGCAAGCTAATGACAAATATCATTTCTCTATTATAAAGGCAAGTTACATCACATGTCAAGGACTTTGGGAAAAACACACCCAGTCAGGATCTGGATCTACGTTCTGCTGGTGGCTAGCCCTATGCAACTGGTCAAGGTTCTTCCACTAGTTGTCCTTCCCCTCCTCATAATTTTTAAAGAAAGATCACATGAAAAGGACATAACACAATGCTTAAAGGAAAAAAATATCAAAAAGTTAAATAGATCTGCTTTTGAATGTCAAACTGCACAGTTGAAAGGTGTACTGGTCATACCATGATCATTATCGTCTTGCTCACCAGAAGCAATCTGATCATACTGTAACTAACCGTCATGACATTTCCAAAGAAAACACCAACATGCTACTTGTTACTAGCTAGCATGACATAGGGCACTGTCCTTTCTCCCCTATCACTTTCAAATTTAACATGGAGAACAATCTAATAGCCCTTAAGGTATTTTCTGCCTTTATTTCACACTCTTTGTTCTTTGATATATCCAGGGACAGCTCAGCAGAGAGCTGTCAATACTATGTTCAGTCATTCATTATATTATCACTTAGAACTATTTACCAGAAATTGCAAAATTTGCAAGCCTGGCAATTAAAAAGGCTTTTTCAGAGGTACTGACTCTGCAGGAGGTAAGCTACCTGCTACACAGCATTAATAGACTCTTCCACCCTTGTGACTAGGATCATGTGTTGAACTACTTGGGGAATTCTCTATCATGACCAAAAAATACATACATACCACTGTGCCAGGATCTCCTTTTGGGCCCTGCAAAGAAATGAAGAAGTGGGAACACATTTAAAAAAGAACAGTTATGAATAAGACGATATTTTTTTTTGTATTACTGCATTATGAGTACACTTTGCTAATGCAGTGCAATTAAGAATCAGTATTAAGTTCAGCCCTCTCAGCTGATTAATTAAGTATAAAATCGTAGTAATATTTGGGTTTTGTTTTGCTGTTCCAGAATACAGAGAAAGACAGCTCTGCAGTCCAGTGCGAGCCCATGACTACAAGTGGCACATAACGTAAGGACAAAGTCCTCACTGATGGCTACAACATTTTTACGCGGTTACCAAAATGACAATCACAAATCAGTAGAACTTGCCTATGATGCTAACAAGAAGGAGGACCTAAATAAGTGCACAGCATCTTTGGCTCCACAGAACAAAGCAGCATAGTCCAGCTGCAAGGTGGTGCATCTGCACTCTGCAGCGTTGGCGACACCAGCCCTGTATTATTGCCACAATATAATTCTCGTTTTTACACATTTCTCTGCACTGTAGCAACACATAGTGAATCAGTGACAGAACTGAGATCAGAATTCATGAGCTTGTCATTTCTAGCACTAAATTTAATCCATTATAAAACTATGCCACCGCTAACTATAAATACTATATTACACATTTTAAGACATTAGGATAGTTTCAATAGAGTCCAATATCAAATTATGTACCATTTTCACAGCCTTTACTTGCTAGGGTGAAATACTTAAATCAGAATAAACTACTTTCCAAAATGGGCTAGAATGCCTGATAAACACATAAAAGCATGTACTTTTATCATTTACTACATACCAATCAGACCCTTATTTTTTCTGTCTTTCACATATAAAATCAAATTCCATGCCACTTACCAAACTGCATGCAACTAACCAACCCCTTTGCTACTATGTTAATTAACTATTAGAAATTATGTTTCTGTTAGTACTTACTGGAGGTCCTGGTGGACCTGGATAACTAGCGACACTCACACCTCCCTGCAACAGCAAGTTTAAAAGTTGAGTTGGGCCAAAATCAAATTGATTGAAAAAAAAAAATTAACATTAAAGAGAAATACCTGGAGTTTATATAAGCTGCTCATTCCATTTCTTTCATTGTAAGGCATACCCTTTAAAACATAAAAACCAAGTAAGTGTCACAACTACGAATTATAAAGGCAGAACCCTTGCCCTGTTCAAGCCCCACAGCTGAGCAAAGCTGTGGTATAATTTTTGGTTTTGATCAATTTTTCAAAGACTCCAGACATTTCAGTAAGAACATAAGATACATACCACTGTGGCTTGGGACTTTTTTTTTGAATTATGAAACCAGAAACCTGTAAATTTCAGTGTACGTTACATTTTGATATTTATTATTAGAATTCTCCAGAATTGGTTTTGTGTTAGGTACTAATCCAGTTAATCTGGAGTCCAGTGAACTCCACGGACTTTCCCTAGGTACCCTGAGTTCCCTGACCTCAGGTACCCAAGCTGTCTAAATTCCTCTAATAACACTGGACACCAAGGTTAACTTATTTGACCAAATTTCTAGGATGGCTCTAGTGATCTGAACTTACTCAGCTATGAATCACAAGAAAAAAAAGGAATACAGAAACCTTTTGCAAAAAGACATTGTTGTCTTCCTGCTCTATTAATACGTATTAGATTGACAGTCAATTCTTCATGTTATGTCACGTTTTACTCAGAGGTATATTGCTTCTAAAATAACATTCAAAATATAAATCAAAATGTCTCACCGGAGGCCCAGGTGGTCCAGGTTTCCCAGGAGAACCTTCACTACCCTAGTACAGCAAGAGATTCATATAACTCATTTACTGTAACTGATGTTCAGATCTATTCCATACCCAAGCTATGATGACCATAATGACAATAAACAAGACATACAGTCAATATGAACAGGCAATATCAAGAATAAATTCTCCTGCCCAGCTCCTGCTTGAGCTTTAGGCAAGTTATTAATCATTACTTTATACTAGTTTTTTATTTTGTTAGTTACTTGATGCTTTATGTGTAGTAACTTCCTTGTGGCAAAATAGTAGTGGTAACCCGGGTTGTGAAACACTTCATATATACCAGGAAGGAGAGCAAGGGGGGGGGGGGGGGGGGGGGGGGGGGTAAATT